AGAAAAGATCTATATTAAAAATATGCACTATATATTGAATGAGCGCGCGAACGCGTTGTGTTCTTCGTTCAGTTTCTCTCTGTCTCTTTTTCTCCGTTGAGTGTTTTTGTGTTGCAGAATGTATATCAATACCGTCTCTTGTTGTCTATATCAAATCATGTGCGCGTACACACATATATGCGCAGTTCTCGCGACACACACACACACACACACACACACACACACACACACAGATCACCGACGAGCACACTCGCTCGTACACACTTGCCCAAAACGTCTATCACCATCTCTTTGCAAACACACAAAATGCGAAATAAGAGTCGATCGCGAGCGCGCTCACGCGCACACGCTCTCGACTTTGCATTTCGGATTCTCCGCATATATGCGAGAGAGCGACGGAAAAAAGGCAATTACGTTTATTAGAACTCTTTTTCGTTAAATGTGTGTGCGCTGAAGGCGCAGCAAGACTGAAACTCATGCGCATTCGATTGTATGGATGCAAGAGCCGAGGGACACCACATCGACTCACAAACGATTCTGTTTTTATTTTTCACTGGCTGGCTGATGGTTGTTCTTGCGCGATTTCGCATCGATGCTTACAATTTTTTGTTTTCACAATTGAGAAATGCAACAAAACGGCAATCATCAAGAGCAACAAAGTCAGTCACACTGACGATTGATTCACTGCTGATAGCCATCTTCCTCCTTTTATTTTCACTCGCTATACGCATTTACTTGAGCAAATGATCGTGCGCCCGATGAGTGAAATGCATTTCACCCAAATCAACGGAACTGAACAAAAAAAAAACCGAATCGAAACAGGGGAAAAAAACAATCACCGCTTTCATTCAATTTCTTAAAATTCATTCAATATTCGATCTTCGCTCGATCATTCTTTCTCGCTTCTCGCGCAGAACGATTATTCAGTACAGAGAAATAGAGAGTCAGTACAGAGGAAAAAACAACAGCACCAAGAATTCCGTATTGAACGTTCATTTGTGCGAAATATGAACGCGCACACATACACCACAGATGCCTAAGTGCTGAATGAGAAGTGATTTATGCACCATGCGACCTGAGAAATGAAACTGGCAAATATCTCAAAGGCAAACGGACACCGAATGAGTGGAGCGAACAAGAGAAAAAAAAAAGTTCTAATATATTAAACAAAGCCAACGGCAACACTTAAACACGGAATGAGAATAGCGCAATTCATTTCAACGAGAGAGACGCGTGCGCGCGCGCAAAGAGATTCATCGCTCGCGCGCACATCGCACATACACAGAGCATAGACATGAGCCCCTTCTTCATCGTCGTCATTTTCTATTTGCACGCGCTATTTCGCAATTGTTGCCACGGTTCAGTCTCTCTCTCCCTCTCTCTCGGTTTTTAACTCTCTGAATCACCAAACTCATTATCCCAAAGTGATTTTTTTTCTTCGCTCTACTCATTTTGCTCACTTCTAACTCCATTTCGTTCAACTATTTTTCAATATACATACATTATTTTTGCAAACATTACATTTACTCACATGATGAATCTTTGACTTGCGCGACACTCTAGCAAAATAAGGAACTTTACCTTGTCATTCAACGTAAACACACATTCGATACTAGCGCCAAGTTCAATGTCTCAAATTCGAACATCCGAAGAAGTCGAACGAATTTTTATTCGATTTTAATATGCGCTAAGAATACGCTCAGAGCGAGATAATTTCGAAAAGTTACGTTTCGGAGGGTCGGTTGCAATTTGCGACTCGTAAAGCGCCAGTTAGATGCTTTTCAGTTACTTGTCTTATACATTACGTTCAACCTTCTTTTTTTTGAATAAAGCATTCCAATGTTACAGACTCAAGAAGACAAAATCACTCTCATTCAAGACAAAAAAGTGCATCAGATCATCACAAACACCCTCAATTCAATCGATCATTTCTATATTTTCATTTCTTCCCGTATCCAAGATCGAATATTCTAAGTTTAATGTAAAATTCCGGAATAGAAAGTATTGGATCGCCCACGATGGGATAGACTCAGTATATAGGCAGACATGTATTGCACTTTTCTCTCTATATATCTATATCTATATCTTTCTCTCGTTCTATTGCGTATTTATCAAGGCATAATCTCACAGTGAATATCTTTTTTCTATTAAAGTAAGATTTTCACTTTTTGTCTCTCAATTTGACTTAAATTTTTCGGCTTGCTGAAAAATTCTAGCGGGCAAGAGTCATACAGAACACTTTAACCATCCCACACAACAAATTGGACACATGCAAATAGTCAAAATCAAACGAAAGGGCGTCTTTTGCATTCTGGAGAACGGAAAAAACTCCAAAAGTCCCACATTCGAAAAAAAATCATGTTGAACTCCGTCAACGTATCCAAATAATAAAGTGATCGAAATATTCTCAATATAAATAGAATTCAGTTTTTTTCTTCGTTTATTACAAATCATACGTTGAAGTTTGTCCCACTCGTTACTCAATTATTTCATAAAAAAATAACGTATGAGTCAGTTCCAGTCTGCGGCTGCAATCGATTGCACGCTGATCATTTCAAATGACTCATAATTACCTTGACTTTCGGAAGCTAAATTTCGCATCATACCAAGCATCGCCGAGCGCAAACAGTCGCTGCAGTTCTTCAATGTCTCCAAATGTTCCATGCGTCGGCAATTTGAACTTTGAATTCATTTCGTTAGGAAATGTGCGAATGCAAATGCGATAAATTCTCAAGTCGACTGCATCGTCGTCGTTTGTAGCGTTTTTTGCTATTCGGGACGTGTTTCTAATGAGTTTTTTGTGAATTTCTTTGATACGTTCTTCTCCTTTCGTTTTCTGTTGTACCGCCGTGCACATGAGTCGGCCATAAGTAAGTGCTCGTATAAGCTCAATCCTCAATTCATTTATAAAACGCACGCTTTGCGCTCGTATTTTGTTTCGCGGTACTCGTTCGTACATTAACTTCATAGCTCATATTCATATGAGCATAAATGGGATCCATACGTGTGTGTGTGTGTATGCGTGTGTTTTCTCGTGTCTTTCGTAAGTTTTCTTTCCGTCTTATTTCTGTTTCTCCTATATCATACGGCAACTCCATCGAATGAAATTAAATCAGGGTTTTGTCTGCGACCGTCACAAATCAAGTAAATTACACCATCGATAGTCGCTTGAGAAGAATGCGCGATCGGCGCTTGTAAAAAACTCGATTTAATTGATTGAAGAAAAGAAATGCGATGTGCAAATCAGAGTGATGCGACCATTTAAATGACATCAAGTGAATATAAATCGAATGGAAACGGTCGAACCCTGAGTGCGTTAACAAAACTGAACATCGGCTCAATTTAGACGAGGAGAGTGCGAGCAAGCAATCACGGAAAAAAAGAGTTTCAAACAATGTTCCTATTTTTTTTCTTCTGATTTCTGTTTCGTCCCTCATTCCTCAACACAAACAATCTTCTCTCAATGTAAAAGTGAACATTTCACTAGTCTTCTTCGATTTTTATCGCTCAAAAAGCGAAAAATAAAAACGGCGACAGCAGCAACGGCGCACTTCGTCGACAACAATAACAACAGCGACCGACCCAGAGAGCACGAGAGAGGAGCACCGATGTAAAAGCGTTATAGATTGTGTGTGTGCATATGTGCAATGTGCTTGCTCGTTCGGTGCTATGCATACATTTATTATATTGATTTTTGGATCTACAAAGTCAAGATAAAACGACCATACGATATTTATGAAATGAAAAAAAAAACGAAGAACAACAACAACAACATTCGTCGTCTTTGTCTGTCGCATCGAGCGACGACGGTCGGCGTCTCCGTTGCGCAGAACACACTCTTTCGCAAATACACACACACACACAATCAAATTCACATGTGGAGAGCTCAGTAAACTATGTGCACATCTAGACGCCAAACAACGACTCCTGGTGAATTATTTCGTTTGGTTCTGTTTTTTTCACTATTTTTTTTTGCTCCATGTACACGAAGACATTCACATACGTTATCTTTCTTTTTTTTCGTTACTGCCTCGGCCGAAACTCAAAGGCGGCCGTGCTGCAAACTGGGCTGTGTGTACATGTTGGCTTAAGTACAAAAACGATTAATCGTAATTTGTGCGTTGTTGTTGTTCTCTCTCTCTCGCTCACTCGTTTTTTTTCGTGTGCATATTTTCGTTCGCGATTTGCTGTGTTTGTGTGCGCAAATTGAACTGAATTTAATGTGCACTCTCTAATTTCGACGATTTTTTCTCTCTGCTGCCTTCTTCTATTCGTTTTATTTCTTCTTTGATTTTTTGCACTCGCTCGGACTCGACGCGAGTGCTTTTTTCCGGCTTTTCTCATAGCAGCGCGCCTGAAATATGAAAACTGCCGAGTAATCACAATAATTTAGATACGATTGCAACGAGAAAAAAAACGCATAACCAATGCTCATATTCTCATCACTCGGTGTAATATATGTATTTCGCATTTGAAAAGATAACTTTAATCTGGTGAAAAAATTGAATCTTTTTTCATTCCTCACCGCAATGCAATGATCGCATTTGCTGGAATTGAACCACATTCATAGTGACTCATCGTCACTCATTGACCACCGACTCTTTTCTAGTTTATTACTCAAACACGCACGCTGATCATGTCAACAACCACATTATTTAATTGATTCCAATCATTTTGTGTTTGATTTACTTGGTTTTTTGTTGGAATTTTTGTGATCGAAGAAGGTTTATTTAAATTTTTGAAAAGCAAAGGTAATATCAATCTTATATCTAACAATCTCATGAAGTCTTTGGCAAATCGAAAAAAACAACAAAGTTGAAATCTGATTTCAACATTGACCAGTTCATTGTAATGAACTCAAATCGAAAATCATCTCTTTCCAACCCCTGAGAATGCTTCTCTTTTTTTTTCTTTTAGTTTGGACCAATAACACACGTTCTAATCGAATTGCGTTTTCCACCTTTTTCTCTCTCTCTCTTTACTCGTGTTTCGATAAACAGATTTTCATGCATAAGAGTGCGATGCAAATGCAACATGCTCGGGATCTACAGCGTGGTGTCGGTGCCGGTACAAACAGTGGAAATAGCGCCAATGCTGGTGGGCTAGCTGCTGCCATTAATACAAACAATATCAGCGGATTGCCGGCCATTATGGGCGCCAGCGGTGAAATTAAACCACATCAATGTCAACAATGTCTGAAGAGCTTCTCGTCCAATCACCAGTTGGTGCAACACATTCGCGTTCACACCGGCGAAAAACCATACAAATGTTCCTATTGTGATAGACGATTCAAGCAATTGTCACATGTTCAACAACACACACGGCTACATACAGGTAAGCGTTTTAGAACATTTCTTAAGATTTCGAATGGCGAAGAAGATTTTGTTCCATATTTGTTGAATTAAAGAAGAAAATCTTTTCTCTTTGATCTTCGTTCCTTGCTCCTCGTTCCTAGATCTTCTTCTTTAATTCAGAAAATGTGGAACTGGAGAAGAAAAGAAAGATTTTTTTTTTTATGAAAATGGATTTCGAAAAGGGTGATTCAAACAATCGAGTCGAAGCGGGGTTTCATGAAATCGCCACTTTTATCGGCCATTACCATAAGAACCCAACGAACGAAATGAAAAAAATGAAGAGAATTGAAATAGATAAAAGGAAGAAAAAAAGTCCAAAAAATAAGAGCAACGAATTAAACTGAAAAAGCGAGACAAAAAAGGAACTTTAAATAGTTTATGATGAAAAATTGAGGGCACAATGACAAGAACTGTTTATTCGAATGTAGTTTCGCTTCAAAGATTAAGCAAAAACAGAAGAAAAAAACGTCGAATCAAAAGAAAAAAAAAAGAGAAAACAATTGAATTGTTCCATTTCAGCGGGAATTATTTAAAGAAAAAAAAGTAGCTGCGAGAAAAGTGCGTGTTCGGAATTGAGTTTCTAATCGGCAATTGCCGTGGTGACAAAGCGCCATTCTCGTAAACACGTCAACTAGTTCAAATTCTAGTGCAAATAAACAAATTATATTTTGCGCGAGAAAAAAAGGAGAAAAGCAAAGAAAAATCGTGCATTCGTTAGTTGGCGCTCGCACGCGCACACGCTCATCTACGAATCCTCTCGTTATTATCATATGTTTCGATATTCGTGCGCACGCTAGTTGGCTCTGTCTCTGTCTCGGGTGTTTGTTATCATGTTGTACGCTAGCAATAAAATGATATAAATAAATCTGATGTTTGTTTTTGTTTGTCAAATGATAATGACGACTAGTTGTTGTATGCGTTTGCCTCGATGCAGATCGGTTATAAACAAATAAAAATCTAGGTCAATACTGTTTAGGATATTGTTCCACTTACGCAGAAAAAAAAAACGAAGAAAAATTATAATCGCTTGCATCAGCCGCTAAATAAAACGAAACTCTCTCGCCGCACAAAATGAGTTCAGTTTCCTTTGCGGATAAAAACAACTTTGTGTCTTCCTCTTCGATTTTTTTTAAACGAAAAATGGACCTACCTCAGCCTTTCTGTCAAAACAAACAAATACACGATCGATACCACTTGAGAAATTGAGTCGCGATGTGTAATATAAGCGCCTCACGGCAACACAAATTATTCCCAATTAATATGAATTACATGTGCCATTTTTATCACAACAATTTGTCTGCGCGATCAAAAGCATATTTTGTCATAGGTCTCTAGTATAGGACGGGAAAAAAAATCATGTCTGTCTTAACAACTTTCTGTTGAGAGGTGAAATCATATTTGCATTTTTTATTAGACAACTCTCTCGTTCATGAACAGAACCGAAAAAGAATGGACGAAGGGGAGAGAGGAAAAAGTGGAAAATCGTCTGCTTTTAATGCTTTTTTTCGCTCTCGTTGAGTAATAATTTAATAAATATGTGTGTCCCTCTTTTTCCTACCATTTCCAAAATTCCGTTCGTTCGCTCGCTCACTCGCTTGCTTTTTTTTCATTTTTCACAAATTGTGACTAATCGTTCCGTTATTATTATTTCGACGGCATTGCTGCAATGATGTAGAAAAATCACCTTAATTTTTATCAGCAACATCAATGCCCGGTACCCATGTGTACTTAACCGAAATGGAGCAAAAAAAAAGAGTGTAATCGGGAAAAAAGGGGGAAATCATTGCAATTCTTAAGTGCCATCCAGAGAATGACAGTTTTTTTTTCTCTCGTGTATACCCTTCAAATTTTTATTTTTCGTGTAAAACATCGTTTTTTTTCATCTTCTGTCGAGCAACTTGCCTCTTTTTTTCGTCGCCCATTTTTGACACACCACTTATGCGACACGCTCAGTGCGAAAATGGAGCCGAGGAAAATTCTTTCCCAGAAACGGCTTGGAAGCAGCTTTTGAGTGTTGACATTTTTTTGTTTTTCTATTTAGTTGAAAGTTCTTATGAGTAAAAGACGAAAACTGGAACAAAAAAGATGAACACGAACAAATAGGTGAACATGGGCAAAAAACAAAAATACAAAATGAATGGAAAAAGTAAGAAAACATTAGCATTTCTGATGAAACTGCTGAGCCTAAGAGTAAAAACTGAAAAAGTAACAGATTACGTGTACGCTGTTAAAAATCAAAAGTGAAGCAAAAGTGTCATCACATTCCCGGTCATTAGCACCGCAATGAGCTCAGCTGTCCGCTGTAAAACTTTCAATCCATAATCCAATCACCCGAAAAACATATGATACAAAAATTTCAATTTCATTACCAGCCTCGCTCGAGATTGCGACGACATCGCCACCTCATGTGCTGGTGCGAGTGGCAACCGGGGGAAAAAATGAGAAGCGCGTACAACAACAACAATAGTCATTACCCCATCTCTAGCATTGTCAGGCTCATAATTTTTAATTCAAACCCTTTCGTTCGCCTTACATTTTTGCAGCCGTTTGCTACACTTTTTTTTTCTTCTTGATTGCTTTCGTCAATATTTCGATGGGTTTCATTAACGAAATTATCGTTATAAATTTTTTTTTTCGCCTCCACTTTTATCGGTGGAGTGTTTTATGATTGCACATTTGGCGGATGGTGTTGAGTTACAGCATCAGTTGAATTTTGAATGAAACTCACATTGTGGAATGAATTTCTCCAGTGTTTTTCGTCCAGAGATGGGGAGAGAGAGAGAGAGTATCAATGGCCGAGTAAATCACCATCTGAACGATCGGGGGGGAAAAACGCTCGTTTATTTGCAGCGCCGTTTTTGTGTCGCGTGTTCGCCGGTAAATTGGTTAATCAAGAAATTTCCGTGTGGTTCGCGAATCCCATAAAAAACCCACTGTGTTGGTGGCATTTTTCTCTTTCTATTGGATTTCTTTCGGCGTTCAAACACCGTTCCACATTTGAAAGAGAGCAAAAAAAACGGCATTCAATAGCGCGAACTATAACAAAAAAAAACCAGAACCAAAAACAAAGGCGAGAAAAAGCAATGAAAAACAATGGCAAAACAAGATGCAGCGAAAAGGAGAAAAAAAAGGGAAAAAATGACTCAAAGAGTAATTACGTGCTTTGATGCTTAAATAATCGACGTATTAGTCATGGATTTTATGAATCTTTTGTCCAAACGACAGTCTCGTTTGCGAGCGCCTTTTCATAAACCGCACCAACACCTCTTACTCTCTCTCTAAAGCCATACACAGGGAAAAAAACTACGGCTCTCATATTTTCGGAATTTATTGTGGTCGCTATTTGGAATACATTCAATCACATTTTCAGTTTGGTTCGCAACAACAAGTTTTCGGGCTACATAGTCGCGCCGGAAAGAACACAAGATATCCGACATTTTGGAGTGGGGAATTTAATAACTAATGATTAGAAGTAAAAATGGTTCGTGCACAATCTATTACGAAAATTAGTTGAACAACGCATCTAGAATTGTTTCAATTGTTAGGTTTCACCTCTTTCTCTCTCTCTCTGTCTCTCCCTCTTGTGCGTGCGCGACGAGAATAAAACATTAAAAGAAACGAAAGAGCGAGACTACAATCGTCAACACACAATTTTTCGTTCGTGAAAATAATTATTCACGATTCGATGCGCGTTTTTGTTTTGGCCACATCTGTTCCATTTCACAAAGATATCAACCAGTAGACTTGGCGTCTCCGAAAGAATTGTCCTGTATAATTTACGAAAGAAAAATGCGAAGAAACTCATCGAAAGAAATGACACACACCAGAATCATTTATGGATAAAAATACCGTGAATCGGACTCATAATTACAAACAAGCGGTTTTTTTTCCATATCCGTTTTCTTTTTTTACCTTTCTCCTTATCTGCTTTGGGTTCAGAAAGTTTTTTTTTTCACTCATTCTCTCGTGGCATTTTTATTTCAATTTTTGTGTCTGCTTCGAAGTTTTTTTTTCTTCTTTCGTCGGTTGTTTTGTTTTGAAAGGGTTGCAATGAGAAAACAGGTTTTCTCTCTGTCTCTCTCGTCTATTATTTGAAACTTTGACATTTGGAATAAAATGTTTGGAGACATCTCTTCAACTTTCCGGTTTTTCAATAGAAAACTTTTAAAAATCAAGAGCAACTACCGCAGAGAAAAAAAGACAAGAAAAAACTGAAAAAAGTAACAATTGAAACTATGCGGTAATTCGATGGAACTTATCGCATTTCGACCAACATCCGTAATTTCATTTAAATGTGGCTTTCATTTGAAAACGTTTATACGTATGTCATGTGTTTTTTTTTGCTCTTCTTCTTCGGATACCTCTTTTCGTTAATCGGTTGAACTCAGCCTCACTTCTTCCGAGGGAGAATTGTTTTCCAACTTTGTTTGTGCGCTAGATAGAGAGAGCGCGAGAAAATGGACAAAAATGTCGTATTGAATTTCATTAGCGCACCTCAAGATTTGAACCGGCAACAAAACAGTTACAACGAAAGGGTAGACAAGACATGCTCTTCAATTGTTTTGTGCACGGCATTGTATTGGCATTTCATTTGGTGTGCAACGGGTTGTTGAACCACTCACTCACTCACTCACGGCTGTCAAGCGATTCGACTTAACCTTGAATTTTTGCTGCCGGAAATACCAACAGCCATACCGATAAAACAACAACAATAACAATGAAAACTGTAATCTCACCGGTAAGTCGATCATAGTGATTTACATCCATACCCTTCTCCGGATTCGTCATCTGACTGACAGTGTCGGTGCTCTCGTACCAATCTCAACTTTTGCCGAACATGTTCCATTACTTTGGCGAATGAGGTCTGGTATCGATTAAAATCCGTTGAATGAATGAAGCGACATTGAATTTCGTTCGGCTCATGACTCGATGTTTGATGGATTTTATGTGACGCAAAGCAGTTTGAAGGAAACATTTTTT